GAATGCGCGTGACGTGTTCGCAGTCGGTTACACGTGAATCACCGGTAGGAACGGTCACCGAGAACGCTCTTGTCCCGAACAACGTTAGGAACGTACGGAAAAGAGGGAAAGTAAAGAAGAGGGTTAAGAAGAAGAAAGAAAAAAAACGACTATTCGCAAGGAACTGAAAGGGATGCTGAGAACGGCAACTGGAAACGAGAAAAGGGATCTTGAACTCGCGAATTCGTCTCAAAGAAAGAATTCTCGGCGTTCCTCTCGTTGTTCCCAGTGAAGTACCTATCAAGGGAGCCTCCGGATGGTTAAGGGTGGAAAAGGGGTGAGAGCCGCTGCTCCTGGAGAACCAGAACGAGAGGGAAGTTTCGCTTTATTTGAAAATCCTTTCTTAATATTTACACAGGCAAACGTCTCGGGCCCTCTCCGCCCCCCCCCCTTCCGCCAGACTTCTCGCAACCCCTCAAGCTTTTCCTTTTTTGACTTGCCAAAGGGATAGTTTCGCGTGAGGACCTAGTGAAGAGGAAAGTGCGCAAGATAAAAAAAAAAAAGAGATATTAAAAAAACCAAAAAAAAAAAAAAAGAGTGAAACGGAAAAATAGTGCGGAATAAGGGGCTGGAGGGGAAAGGAGATAGAGAGGTAGAAATTGGAATACCAAGAAAGCTCGGTTAGTAAAGTAAAAAACTAATCGCGATTTGCATCGAGAGACGTTTAAAATATGACCATTGGAATTACTGGATAGCTGAGAAGCTGAGGGAGGAGGGTGAAAGGGGGGGAAGAGGGGGGTAGGGAGGTAGGTGGGTGGCTTTTCAGAGGGTTTTCAATAGCCGCGGAAACGGGACGCCTCTTCGCGGTATCGGCTACAGTGGGATAGGGGGGGAGGGCTCCGATTGAAAACTGGGGTTGAAGGGGGTGGTAGGTGGTGGGGGGGTGCATCCTCCAGGCGACTTATTCAAATGAACCGGCGGATTGAGCCGCGAGGAAGGTGCCGGTTTGTTTCCTACCGAGAAACGACAGACCTTCCGTCGCGACGGCAATCTTTTCTTTTTCTTTTTCTTTTTCTTTTTTCTTTTTTTCTTTTTCATTCGACGAGACGCCAACCGAGAAATTCGATAAGTCAATTTATACGGGATACGTCTGGGCATTGTCGATCGAATTTTCTTGAGGTCGCTTTAAGGCTCGCGTTATACGAACACCTTATATAACCGTTCCTCCGGCAAGGGGTTGAATTTCACTGTGACGTCAAGTGCCGAATGAAATCGAGCCGTAAAATAAGAGATCGTCGGGACGCAAAGCCACTTCCGGTTTCCGGACGCGGTTTCCTTCGTGCGCTCATACACGCGCAGCTATATATATATATATATATATATATACGTATATACGGATATATTATATATAGATATATACCTATCATATTTCTATAGGTACATCGAGTACATCAGTGCGAGGTAAACCTCACCGCTCACTGTGGCGTATTCTGTGAAATAGGGATTTCGGGGCGAATAAGGGTTAAATAGAAAAAAAAAAAAAAAAAAAAAAAAAAAAAAAAAAAAAAAAAAAAAAAAAAACAATATTAAAAACCCCCCCAGAAAGCAGACCTATAAGATTTGCGTAAATTGCCGAAAATACACGTAGCGTTAAATATAAAAATTACAGACGAAGTGTCCGCCATCTTGACCGCTAAAAGGCAAAGATCGGACCTAAGGGTTAGCGACCCTTAAATATACCAGGTGGGTTACCGCCAACCCCTGCCCTAAAGATTTACCAGAGCCGAAGACGCTGGCTGTAGACGCGGGTGGGGAGGGATTGCACTTAACCACCAAAGAGCCTCATCGAGCGTTCACTTGCTCGCAGAAATGCAATATGTGGATATGCGAGGCGTGCCGGGAATACGCGAAGCATCTGTATAAAGGGATATATCTATTGGGCGACGAAAGCTCCATATCTCGGTAAGTACACACGAGGCAGTCGGATAGTAACTGTATCTATGGATAGATTACGTACTAAGACGCAATACAGACTGAATCCAGTCCTTCCGCTTAAACGCTGCACGTACAAAGAGTATCGCAGTTATATAAATAACAAAGGGCCAAGATGCACATAAAATCATAGCGATACAATAGCCAAGGTAATTGCAGTCACTGAGGGTACAGACTGAAACTGAAAGTTCAACAAAGCCTATTTTCTTAAGATATAAGCCCAAAGCCATGTTCGTCCTCTTCTGACCCGCCTAACTGCCCATAAGTCGACCCAAATAACAACGTGGACGAACGACGTCGTAATATTGATAAAAAAATTCGAAAAGAAAAAAAAACGAGAAAACGCAACAAAGAACCCTCGAAACGTTTTCCATTGATTTCCGTCCCGACACAATATTACGCAGCTGCGTGCAGTTTTCGATCGTTCGACAGGGTAATATCGTAGGTCGCCCTGATATCGCGAGCAACGCGACGAATTATCGTCGCGGAAGCGGAAACGTCGTATGAGGGTTGCAAAATTGAGTGAAGGAAACGAGGACGTAGAAACACCCGTTATAGGCAGGTTACCGAGTATTGACGAATGATTCGCGAGTGCGATAAACGTAAGAATAAAATAAATGGCAATTATGACGTTTAATTTATTGTTACTTCTTTTTATTATTCTCTTTGATTTTTATCATTATCATTCACGGCATTATTATTATTATTCTAAAGAAAATTCCTCACAGCGCCACTGTTGTCGGCTCGCTACCTAACAAATACACTGGTCCACCTTCTTAGGTACTCGCGTTTCCTGCAATATCGTCCTTACCCCGTCGTCATATTATATTCAAAGTTTTCTCCGGCTTCCGTGAAACATACCGTAGACACTGCGTATACGTATTTCTATTGCTACAATGAAGTTTCGGCTCGATACCGATATCTCGCTTGGTACAGGAACATACGCATACGGTTATGTACGTATGCGGGTAAGTGACGTATCTGCGATAGGCGGGATTCGTATAGGGATTTTTGCGACTACGTGTATAATGTAGTACAGAGCGTTTCATCTGACAGAACAATACGAGAGCATGTACACGTATGGATGGTTGGGTCCATTCAAGATGAAGACAACTGTATACGTATAAAAAGTGATACAGCGTGTACTGCTGTACAGAAGAGTGCTTGTGGGCATGGTGGAAAAAAAAATAATTTTTTTTACCAAAATACCTTTTCTTTTTCATTTAAATATGCTATTTGACTTTTACTAGGAACTTTACGTAGATTTTGACTTAACGAACTTTTACGCTTACCGAGATACCATTGCAGGCTGAAGAACCGACGAAGCTTGGCGAAAATATGTAGACTCATTTTATACGCGCATGTATATATACATATATACTATGTCAATTAGGTAATAACACATAAATATAGTATTCAATAACAATTTTTGTATTTATCAACGTGTCTTATCGGTCGGAGCATATATCGCCAGTGACTGTTTGACCCGTCGATCCATAAATATATATATGTATATATGTGTATATGTATGATCAAGATCATATTAATCCATTACCGCCAGAACGAACAAAAATATGTTCGAGCTAAAATCCTATACAAAATTTTACAAGAAAACATGGCGTACAGGGATTTTTGGGATCGCTGACTACGAATTCGAGCCCCCTCC